TAGTTTCCCCAGTAGAAGGAGAGTGAACAAGTTGACAACACTATGAAGCTAATGGTAGGACGTCCGGTTTGAGGGCAGTTGGCGCTGTGAACGTCCAGCGGCCCGTGCAGGTCGAAGAGCCTCAGGAGGCGGGTTCAACGTGCGATTTCGGACGTGTGTTTCGTCACCAGGTGTGGTTCGTCACACAGGGAAGTATTTGTTCGGCCAGGGGAGTATTCCTGACTTCTCAACTTCAATCCAAGCGCGTTTTGCGACAAGGCATTTGATACGCATGGCAGTTAGTAGTCCTAATGGAGAGTTCCTGCTGTGTAATCACAGAGTGTTGGTAGTTGAAGAGGTGCATTTCTTGCCATTCAAGTGGATCCTCACTTTCATAAACCCAGCTCACTAAGTTAGGTGGAGTAAGCATGAGTAAGCCGATAGGAAACCAGCTTCCTCGAAAGAAACACATCCGCAATCTGGAAGGAGCTGCTTGCTGTTGTCCACAAGCAACCGAGGGAACCTGACTCCCAAAATGTGAATTTTAGAGAACTGGTCAGTGAAAAACATGAAAAAACATCCCTGTTTGGAATCGAATCCCGCTTTTTGTCGCATGCCGATCTTCTTTCGGCACCGACACGGGGAAGAACACGGTTTCCCACCGAGGCCGACGGCGAAGGCGCCACGGGACCAGGCGCGGCACGGCGCTTTTGAGGGATTTGGATGAGTGAGTCGAAGAACGTTTTAGCCTAGTAGCGATGGCCTCCCTAGATGGATGGGTGGGTCGTCTTTCTGTTCCGTTTTCTTTGTGTTTGTTGCTGTGCTGGATATTTTGAACGCGACTCAATGCCCACAGGTGAACCACCAGCAGAGCTCGACAAGGCGACACCAAGACAGGTGGGACACAGTTGAGAAGCCGGGCCGGCAGGGCTCATCACCCAAGACACCTTTGGCACTTCCAACGAAGAGCTGTCAGATGGATCTCCCGAAGGACTTCCCTGTAGGGCCCATATCCATTTCTTCAAAGGTCTCCCTAGTTGAATTCACCCCGATCCAAGCCTTACTAGTAGATTCCTTTGCTAGTAATTACAAGTGCATCGCTAGTAGTAACAAGTGCCTTACTGGTAATAAAAGGACCGGATAACCCCACATGATAAGTTTTACAAATTTGAATTGTATATGAACATCACCTGGGAGACGGAGTAGTGAGATGAAAAGTCAAGAACGAAGTGTGAGGAGAGAAGGTATATGAGGCGGTTGTGCTAAGACGTGTAGTATAAGTGATGATGTGATGGACGAGGATGAGAAGGAGGGGAGGGAGTGATAAAGTGTCTGATGATGTGATGAACAAGGATGAGAGGGACGAGAGAGAGAGAGAGATAGAAGGAGGCGGAGAGAGAAGTTTGGAGGCTCTGGATTTGCGATCAGATCCGCATGAGACCTTCAAAACGTAACACGCTCGAAACGACCATCAAAGCTATCAAGTGGTCTTATCCCGACCACGGCGGGCAGTGCTAGCAGGATGTAAAGTGGAGTGAGTGAGTGGAGTGAGTGAGTGGAGTGAGTGAGTGAGTGAGTGAGTGAGTGAGTGAGTGCGTCAGTGAGTGAGTGAATGAGTGAGTGAGTGAGTGAATGAGTGAGTGAGTGAGTGCGTGAGTGAGTGAGTGAGTGTGTCGGCCACGCCTGTGTTCTCACAAACTACTTCTATGCAGCATTTACAAGGCGATTCGCATGCCGCGCAAACACTGGTCCTGCAAATCACAATGCCAGTGCACAGACACACTTCGCAAACATCCTTCTCGCAGCATTTACAATGCGACTCCACACCGGCAAGAACCAATACTATGGAAATCACAATCGCAGTCACGCACAGAACCGCCGGGGGCCCAGCGGCGACCACGCGCGCCGGAGGCCCTTCTGCAGTCTCTGGACACTGCGGCGAGAGCCGGCCCAGCGGCGACCACGCGCGCCGCAGGCCCTTCTGCAGTCTCTGGACACTGCGGAGAGAGCCGGCCCAGCGGCGACCACGCGCGCCGCAGGCCCTTCTGCAGTCTCTGGACACTGCGGAGAGAGCCGGCCCAGCGGCGACCACGCGCGCCGCAGACCCTTCTGCAGTCTCTGGACACTGCGGAGACAGCCGGCCCAGCGGCGACCACGCGCGCCGCAGGCCCTTCTGCAGTCTCTGGACACTGCGGAGACAGCCGGCCCAGCGGCGACCACGCGCGCCGCAGGCCCTTCTGCAGTCTCTGGACACTGCAGGCCCTTCTGCAGTCTCGTCAGTGATGGAGTGAGTGGTGTGAATGAGCGAGTGACGAAGTCTCTGCAGACGCCTGGGAGTGTGAGTGTGGAGTGAGTGAGTGAGTGAGTGAGTGAGTGAGTGAGTGAGTGAGTGAGTGAGTGAGGAGGGGGCGAGGAGGACGGAGGGAAGGAAGGATGGAAGGAAGGAAGGAAGGAAGGGCGGATGCGGGCGGGATGGCAGCCAACAAAACTAGAACCCCACACAGAGATGTGGGGAATAACAAGAAGCTAGTAATTACAATTCTAATTAAATTCTTATTGCTGTGGCCCACCAATCGATTTCGATTTCAGCGATAGCACCCGATCCTTCGGTCGGGGGCTTTGCGCTCCGCCGGTTCAGGTGGCTTTGCGCATGCAAGGCCGCAAAGATGGGCGACTCTGCGCTCCCCTCATTGAGAACCTGAAGTCCGGTGTGAAGGGCATCGTTTGGGATGCCGCAAACAGGAGTGCCTCAAGCTGAAAACAGAGTGGTGGGGTTTTGCATTGATGCATGGTAAGCGAATTCTTTGCTTCTTGCTGGTAGTAGCTAGCATGGATTGCCAATTGCTTCAGAGGGCTGGATTGTAAATGTTCACTTCGGGTGAGCAGGGAAGAGTTTTGGCGGTATCAAGGCCTTACGATATTTATAGATTAGGTGATACATCGATACTTCACTGAAGGCTCATTTTGCTTCCATTTCCT